GCTAATTCACTTGTGAAACATTCTTAATGATGCTTTCGGAAAATTTCTCAAATTATGAACAGTCAGTTATTTTTGTTTTAACTATCAAAACTGCACGATGAATGGCCATTCCAAGTGAAATAATCTAGGACATTTTCAAATGGAATAATCTAGGACATTTTCATAAGATTTGTGAAGAAAAAGGACATTTATAAGGTGAAGCAGGACGACGGTTTGATTTCAAATGAAAATATCAAGTTAACGGCAATTTATAACAGTTCGTTATTTTCTATAAATCGTATTCAACTATTTGACTGCAAAACATGAAATGTTATCTGCTGCGTTTAGAGTGACTTTGATGCATTAACCCATCGGAATCATCTGTTAAAATGCAACTAAAAGTTAGTGCTCAGCTTTCCGCTCTAATTTCATGAATACAGGAGAATGGCAACGCTGAGCACTTAACCATTCACGGATATACTCTCATAGCACTAATATTTCATTGAATATAAAATCGTGCCTTTTTTGCTATGCCATGACATATCCAAAATCTAATATCTGCCTTTGAATAATGCTAGTTGAAAATTTCATGATTTGTTATTTCTGACAATATGTCAGCAGCACTCAATTTGATTTTTTCTCCACATCGATCGCCTCCTCAGATTCTCGAGCCACACACAACTATTCCAGCTAGTCATCATCCAGTTCGAATAGTTTCAAGCGAAGTTGCTAGCCAAATGTTTTACGAAAACTTTTACTGATAGGATGAGAAGAAAAACTGACGAAGGAAATTGAGTACAATCGAGTGGAACGATTGATTGCCTTTATGAAGTGAAAGTTTTGATTGAATTGAAACAAACATTTAATTTCATTAACAAACAACCGGTTATTCAACATTCAGCCAACGACCTTTGCGGCACAATAAAAAAACCGACGAGTCCATTGCAAACATACAGTGTTGCGCTCGGTGGAGGTTTTAGGAAACGAATGAACACGCTGATCAATAAACGGATTATTCATCAAAATGATATTTGAGTTTTGCTGAAATAATCTAATTAAATGTTTCGATTCCTTCGTAAACAAATGCTAGTTTTTCGATGTGTTATACAGCATTGTGTGATACTCGCTCATTTGTGTCGTTTGTGTGATACGGGGATTATTTGANTTATTTGAGATGTAGAACTATATAAGCTGAATTATTTGATCTGAGGAGATGTAGAACTTTTGCAAATGTATCAAAAAACATTGCAAAAACCTATTTTTAGCACGTATGAAACATCTGCGCAACACCAGTAATTTTTTCGTTGTGTCAAGATTCCATGAACTTGACTGGCATAGTCCACCTATGAGCAAGTTGCGTCAGATGATGGTTGCTGATTGAATTATTTGAAAGAATCAGCGAAAATCAGGTTATCACTATGCTGATCAGAAAATGAGAAAAGTGCTCGAGTTCAAGAACCAATCAAAACAACGGATGCGTGCAGGTGCTCAATGAAAAGTTCAAAGCGATTCAGTACGTAACTCGACTGTACCTCAGATATCATCGTAAAATATACGAAAATTTTTTGATAGAGAAATCTTCAATTGGACTAATGATAATGTTGATTACAATTAACAAAACGGCGATGCCTTAAGTAACATTAGAATTCAATTCATCTGCGCTTTGTTCAGTTGAATATACTTCGATATTGGCAGTCAATTAATCACAGAATGTAACTTTTCGAACATTTCAATTCCAGCACAACTGAATATCAAAACACTTGTTCGAATGATCCTTTGCGATGAAATCATTCTTCTCAAGAAATCACTTCAAATGACACCAAAAANATATTGCAAACGATCACAGAATAAAAGCGGCTGTCATGAATCATTTCGCTTTTCGCGCGAATTTATCATGCCTCAACCACCACTGATCCCAGTTATTGCCAAAGTCACGTTTGTGTGTTGGGAATGCAACCAATGGATCTGGATGTACAGTCTCGATATTGATGCCACCTCTTTGCACTTTCACGTGCTCCTCACCATCCCACCACGAATACCACTGTGAGTAGTCGAAATTTCGAAATGGAACACCAAACTTTATGGTTCCTTAAAAGTTTTATTACAGTGTTTGTTAACATCAGTTTTAAACAGACTGAGGTCGAATGGACATTTCGTATAAATCATAAGGTCAAATGAACCATTCGTATTCGGAGTATAATCTCTGAGAATAACAACTAAGCACTGAGAGAAGATTACGAAATAAACGAAAATTCCTGAAGGTGAGTAGAGAATTTCTAAGGAATGAGACGTCAAATGAAATGCTGACGGAACTGTGAAAGTGAAAACTTAAAACCTGACTAAAATGTTGCATTTTACGTAAGCGATTTGTTGAAATCAATACAGACATTGAACCATGATAGAAATAAATATAGAATGTTAATGACACGGTGAAGTTATGATCATCAGATGAGCGTTTATTCAACGCATGATCAATACATTGCTGCACAACAGAAACTCATCGGATTGTTCCAAGGATACCACAATCAAATGAAAACATATAAAAATTATCACACTCACGAACCATGTTCCTTGGCTTTAAGAAGCTGAGCTTTAAGCTGATTGTACTGCTCGATACATAGTCCGGAACGCTTCAACGGAATCGGTTGATCGGTACCGGACGCGAGGAATTGTTCGATTAACGATGGATTCTGAAATTGATTCATCTTTCTCTCGTACTCTCACTCATTTGAAACCTNCATTCTATCTCACTTCCTCTGTGCTGAATTAATCACGTATGTAAAATGCAACAATCAAACTCCATCGGTGACTTTGAATTTGTGTACATTTGTACATATACGTCAAACCAAATCAACAATACATATTCAGTGTCTCAAGTCATGAATTTTACAATAACCATTCAGATTTCCTCATCCACATTACAAACAGGCATTTGCAAAAGGGAATGAATCTAATGAATGTAAAACTTCATTTACAGATGAACATGCGAGAAATAATTTTGAATCAACCAAGAGAAGAGACTTTTGAAGAGAACAAATGGAATAGTTTACTCGATAATCGAAGAACAAGTATTCATCACGACAAATCGGACATGCATTATTCACGTTGAATTTGCCTTCTTTGTCAATGCAGAATAATCGCGGTTTCGGCTGTAGAATGGCTTGTCCTTTATAATTCCTTTTATACCAATGATATATCGGTGAACCTTTATATGCATCACTGTACGCTGAAAAATCGATCCTTTTCGATGGACAACAACAGATGCTTGAAACAAATCCGATCACGGATAAATCTGTTGGGCAGTAGGGGATGAAATGTGATAGAGGAAGGTACTGGTGATGAGATTAGTGAAACCTTTGCTTTTCATGTAATCAATTTGTTCCTGTATCGAGTGCTTTGGCTTATATAATCCTTTCTTCTTCTCGATGTGGTTGAATGCCAATCCAACTGCTTCAACGATATCCTCGTTGTGTTGTGCATGACAAAAACGTGCAGTACTCTTAGCAGGTAGCTGAATGACTGGGATGGATGAGGATAAAATTTGTGGCAGAAACTGCGCCCTTGAAGCGACACATGCCAATCGCCTTACTGATGATGGCAACATAATTATCTAAAAAAAGGGCGGATGAATTGCAAAACTGCGAAAACATCTCAAAAAATATACCGAATTAGTTTTGTGAATCAATCAGTCGAGCTCGTTCAACCGTGAGGGAAGCAACCTCATATGATCTTAACAAAATCTATCCGAAGAATCGGTATACTTCATGATAACCAATCACAAACCAAGCTAATGGAACCAAAAACGCATTAAAAAAACTTGACATTTACTCAGCACATAAAACTTGTAGTGGTTTATCTTTAAAAGTTTCCAAAAGTGACAAAATCGAACCCAATGGATAATTGTGGATAACCAAGGCGAACAATGGTTCGTGTAACAACGACAGTTGCACAACAAGCGAAAATTGTTTAGTTGAAGAAATTTATTTTTCAAAAAATATTAACGCAACGGGAACGATGTTTATAATACTTAACAACACCAACGACATTAAACGAGTCTTTATCGTTGAGTCCCTTATCAGTCATTATCATAAACAGTATTAATCGAAAGATTTAGGCGTAAGAGTATAAAGAAACCACCACACGATCGACAGTCCAGTCAATAGAGTTATAACAAACGAACGTGTTCTACAACGCCATTGCCAATACTCATCCTTTATTTATACAGTTCTCAAGTGGCAAAACAAATTCAAAATGATCAACAAGTCAATTTCCACAGGATATCATTATCGTTGCGTTTTCTGTTTCACCTTCAATTCTTCACTTACTATTGAAGTTTTCAACAAATAAGTTCAGAAATTCTAGCAAGACTTCAATAGTTCAACTATAAAGACTCAACACATAATATCAAACGTAACAGAACACAATCGAAATCAGTTGTTCACAAGGAAAATGATAATATCAAATAACTAATGTACGTAGAACAACTGCGCGAGGTTCAGTAACTGACGAATGTGTGACAAATCCTATAGAGTCAATCTTGGACTCGACACACATTCACAACACAATTCTGTCTGAAAATACACTGTCCGCAAGTGAACTGCAGAAACGCATCCAACTGCTTAACGCTTATAACCCAAAATGAAACTGTCGATTCCGAATATAGATAAACAAACACTGACACAATGCGGACACATATGAACACAAATTACACTGAGAACATGAATGATTATCTTGGAATTTCCAACTGAGTGGCGAGTTCTGCAAGAATTTCTTCCGTCCTTTTCCGCCAATTTTCCACATCCTTCGATACTTGTTGCCAACGTTCTCCGTGTCGGGGTTCGGCCTGTACACACTTCTTTTTCACATGCTCTTGCTCCTCCTGCGTTCAATATCGTCAATTATTTCGACACAACGAATTCCTCATCAGGAAAACACTAATTCGTAATGGTCTTTTTGTCCACGTAACTCACATAAGTTCGAAAATAACCGTCTACAATGGTTACAGTGAGACATTCGCCGCGAAGACCAAGGTGATCTCAAATCTGACAAAGCAAACAAGAGAATTTTGAAGATAAATCAAATTTGAACCATCAATTTGCCGACATAAACTTCAGGGACAATGAAGTACGAAGGAACAGGAAAACGCCCTTCAACAGAGACGCATTCAAAGACGACTGTTATGAAGCACATTTGATTTAAGTAAATATCTGCATGACCTAATGGACAAATACACCCAAACGGATGCGTAAGAATTTGGATGATGAAAATGAAGATATGAAAGAATCTTTATTAGTCCAGATAAAAGACCTACCGGAGTGCCATGAATTAATTCGAATTTGTAGAAATAAGCCCAAGCATCACCAAAGTCTGGGTCTATTTTAACGGTTCTTTGGAACCACTCTCGCGCTTTTCGTACTTTTCGCTCAGTCCAAAACAATTTAGCAACCGCCAATAGCACATCAGCATTATGTTCACATTTCTTCAGAGCATCCACCGACTTTGTACGTCTGCCATGACGCTCTTCCATGAATATTGCCTCTGCCCACAGCAGACCTGGAATTTTAGCTTACTGAATAAACTGTCTGAGAAATGAACTGTATTTTAAGTGTTAACTTTGTACACTTTCCGTTAGATGGATTCGACATGATCCCAGTCTCATAAACAAAGCTTAAATATGGAATACATACATTTAAATACTAATTCGTTTCGTGCAAATTACAGTTTGACCCTTACACACTTACATAATTGTACAATATTCAGAGGTATACAGTAACGTTGTCAATCAATATACCTGAATGCTCGCACTCTTGAAGTGCTCTCGCGAGACGTTCATGAGCCAGTTCCTTGAGACCCGCACGCGATTCGATCCTTACCGATTCGAGCCTAAAAAATGTCTCAATTTTAATCAACAAAGAACAGTGATTATGACTCCAATTCATCAACAGCACTAAAACAAACAAAACATTTTCATATGGAACGGTTATTTCAAGCTTTTGAACCTCAACGAGTGCGACATACACAACTGCCGATAGAAATTAACAAGAAGACAACAGCTGTATGAAAGACGCAGTAACATACCACAGTTCGGGGTTTTTTGGATTCTGTAAACGCGCCCGTTCAAGATCAGATCGAGCCTTTATGATTTGCTCTTGGGATTCTTCCAGTCGACTCAACCAAATCCATAATGGAATATTTGACGGACATCGCTTCACCTGAATTCCAAAAGCGCTCTTCTCGTCTCACAACATTTCAACGACAAACAACAAGAGGAATAAAAAAGATCACAAAATTTTTGGACATAAATCCGTCGCATTTTACTCATTATGACCACAAAAAACATACTCCCTCGGAAAAGTAACGTCGTGCTTCATTGAAATTCTTCTCCTGAGAGAGTATTTGCCCCATCATCAGATAAAGCTTTGCCGTATCCGGATAACGATCTAATGCGTCCAACAGTAAACGTTTTGCTGCTTCCAGATCACCTAAGCACCATTCAAGTCTGTAAATGAAAACAACCCGAATTAGTTCGAAAATCAAACAGTCCATGCCACCGCATGAAAAAGCAAATAAACAAATGAATTTGCTGAACTGACCTAACAGACTTGAGGAATATACGAGGTGAAGGTGCGATCTCACGTGCCTTTTCGAGCAGCTTCCTAGCTCGTTGATATTCGTTATTTTCAGATTCCAGTTTAACGGCAGCCATCCAAATCTCTTCTGAGTTTGGATTATTCTGCAATAAATTTTTTTTTCACACGTTTAAATCGCATGAATCAGTCAAATGTAAAACTAAGACTCAAAAGTATACGTCGAACGTATCACCTAACAATTTTACATTTCTAATGGCATCGCTCACGTAAATGAAAGATCGATTTCACAAAAAATTTCTCTCAATCTAACGATATATTCGAAACAAGAGCATTTCTATTCATAAACCTGGAATGCCCGTGCCAAAATTTCACGTGATGATTTCACATCGCCGTTCATCCATTTACTTTTCGCAAACATCAACCACAACGTCTCGGCTTTTGGACATTTATCCACTGCATTCTTCAACAACTCCTCGTAACTTTCTCTGGAAAAGAACAATTATCGTAAAATATATCATGTTAATTGTAAACCTGAAAAGTAAAACTTATCGAATTATGTCACAAGAGAGCAACACGACATTGCAAAGAACAGATCAATAAAGAACAAACGAAATCAAATCTACCAACTTGGTTCCATGATTTCGCTCAAAATCGGCTGCAGCAAACCAAAGACTTTTTTTGGTAGGGAACACACTGAGTGCGTGTCTGTACACTGAACGAGCACATTCGAATGCCTCTTGCGCGATGAACTGAATGAAAGTAAAATACGCGATCAATTTGTAGGCAACATTTTACATAAGTCGATACGACTGCAATGATAACCGTCAAGCATCAAGAACAGAAATGTGCAAACTACCACAAAACAAAAATCTGGTGAAATCAAAGAATACCGATTCAGCATCCTCCATCCACGTATGCTTACGATCTTCTTCTTCAACACCAATGGCCAGAACATGCGATATAATTGCATACGACGTAAGCTTGCAATTCGCCTGCACATATAAAAATTAATTACACAGCTCAAAAGAGTACAATACAGTGATAATGGGGACTATGATAACAACTTTCAGATTAAAGCATTTTGAAAGTGCAAAAAAACAGTTTGAAAAAAGTGTCGCATTAAGCAAAAATTTCTGTGATTAATGTTGGATGATTATAACAGGACAAATANACGAAATAAGATACAGAATCTTATCAAATGATTAAGAGACTCACCTTCTCAGCATCCACAGCGTCTTTCAGCCAATGTTCTCGATTGATTTCAACCATATTGGCACGTAGCGAAGTGATCGCCCTCTCAATGATTCTATCAACCATATCACTTTGACCTCTCGTCTCTTCAAGTCTTGCTGCACTTATCCAAATCTGTCGATCTGTTGGAATGTGTTCTCTTGCTTTGTTCAAAACCTTTCTTGCATTCTCATACGTCTCCAATCGAGCCAGTGCCAACCAAAGTTCGGTGGACGTGCTGAAATACGTAGCAATTCGAATTTCGATTAACCATATACAAATGAAATAGGAATCATTCAGCTGATCAACCTAACTCACGTGAACATGTGCAAAATGAGATCAAAGAGGCAAGAAAGACAAGTCAAAAACAGCATCAGAATGCGCAAAGCCTGAACCTGCAACATTCAACAGCTCTAGTGAGCAGTATTCTGGCATCATCCGGTTCTTCAAGCTCAATAGCTGCCTTCCATAATCGCACGGAGGTTGGGATTTGTTCGAGTGCTTTACGGAACACCTTTCGTCTACCTTTCATATCTTCTTCCACTTCTGCTGCTTTCATCCAAATCCGCACAGAATTTGGCAATGCACGAACCGCGTTGGCAACTGCAATTTGTATAGTTCAACTAACTGCATCCCGTGGTTTCAGAATACTTTGCTTTTTCGCATTCAGTACGGAAATAGTTTTAATCAAACAAAAGCTGATATTGTTAAGTTTCACATTAAACTAATCAGCTCTTTAAATAATATGAACAAGTAGAGAAAATACGTATGAAGAGAATAGTATCATGGAACGATGCAATTCAATACCGATAGATTTTGCAGTTTCCGGTGGATGAAGCCGAACGGACTCCAGCCAGAGATCTTCACTTTTAGGATTACGATCACAACCTTCCATTATCAGATTCCTTGCCAACTGCAATTTACCGACCACCTCCTCTAAGCGAGCGGATGCAATCCAAGCTGAAAAAGAAAACAAGAATGAAATTCTATCCTATGAGTCATTCCGAATAAAAAAAATAGATATGTTATGATCAAAAATTAGACGACCAAAAATTACTTAAAGATAAGTGAGGGTATTCGAGCAGATAAGGCAAAAATCAACGAACCAGGTGGATGTCTCGGATTGGTTTCTCGAACCGATTTCAGCAGTAATCTGGCCTTTTTAATATCGTTGATATCGCCTCCGTATTGTGGAATCATCGACTGCAGATCAGTTAGATATCCTTTGGGATCAACGACGGTCTGACCAGTCACCGAATCTGACACCTGAATGTTGATAAATGAAAAAAGTCAATGCAAGTCCCGAGAACAACTCATCTACAGAATGAACGTGGTGCAGTGCTAACGCACCTGATTGAGTTTAATGTCCATAATTGCATTCCTCGCTTGTCCAATTTTACGCAAATCCAAATCTGCATTCGATGACGATCTCGTACTGCTTATCCCGGTCTTCCACCCGGGCGTTAAAAGGCCAGAATTCAAGCCACCAAGAGTACTCATATAACCACCACCGAATGTTGATGCCATCCCACCCAGAGTCGACGTAAGTCCCGATCCCATTGGTGTTAATAAACCAGACTGTATTCTTGTATCCAGTTGTGAACTGACCTGACCGTAACTTATTGCCGACGCTAATAAAGAATCTGGTACTGGGGTCAACCTGGAATAGGGTTTGTGAATTAGTTTGGAAATAAAAACGTGCATTATTTATGCTCGANAGTAAGTTACTGGCACATTAAGTAATTACCTGAAATCAGTTGATTAATCGAAATCATTCAAGATAGGAATAAAATAAGATATTATCGGGTTTAATTCATAATAATATCATGGAACTTGCAATAAATATCCGTTATGAGAAAATGTAGTACGGTGATCTAGAGATATAATAACATAGTTTCAAAAACATTCATCAAAAGTGAATTGCATAGGATTGAGGTAGCCAAAAGGTATTACGAATGATATGCCGAAGTCCAATATGATACAAAAAAGCCGCTTGAAACGCAAAACGGAAACAGAGTTGAACAGAATCAAGAGCAAACAAACCAACTTTTCAGTTCGTGGATTCCGTTTAGCCTTATTCCTCGCATCACCAACCTCTGGAATTGCTGACCATTCGGCTTCGCTAACATTCGATAACTGTCGCTTCAAATCGGAGAATTCTTGTTGAATTTTTGGACGTTCCTTACGATATTTTTCAATCGCTTCTTTATACTTCTTCTCTCTGTAAACCAAAATCATTAGAGGAGCAACAGCATAACGCAGTTACAACACAGCAATTATCCGTTGTAGAAGAGAGTGAACGATTAGTATTCATCAAACGCTTGATTCATTCATTTATTACGTTTCCCCAATAATACTATGGTAGTTTCTTCATTGTCAACGAAAACTTTCAACCGCATTACTCACTTCTCAAACGAAATTTTGTTCCGAACGAATACAAGCGATCCATCATTCATCTCTCATCCACTTCCGAAGAACACTTGCAAACTCAAATTAGTTCAAACATCGAATAAAAATTTACCTGTATTCTTTGCGTCGTTCATCGAGCCGCATATCAACCGCATTGTAAATTTCATCCGCTTCTTCGTCATCTTTATCGTACGGATCTTTTGCAAACAAACTTCCACCATATCCTTCGAACTACAATTACGAGTTTTTCTCAAACACGGAGAATATTTGAAACAGGTTCGGAACATTTTATATACTAGGCAGCTGCAAAGGGCAAGCAGAACTGCAGATAGCAATGTTTCGAAATGAAAAGTTTTGTTCACAGGATATTTACTCAACTGAAAATTTTTAGAATATGAGATTTACTGTCCAATTTAGAACAAATGGAACAGCAACGCTTCTAACCTCATCATAATTGGCATCATTCAGATCCTCTGTGTCCTCTTTCTTATCTTCGTCATCTTCACGAGGTTTCTTAACCGGTCCAGCTGGTGGAAGCTCTGGCATATCGGTGCTATCTCGAGCGGGACCAATATCCGATCGAGTCGTAAATCCGGTAGCACCACGACCCACACCAGCCACATACCCTGCCGGGGCTGGCATGCCCATGAAATGTTTCTTTCGTTTATTCACCAAAGATCCCGGAATCGTTACTGTCGTCATTTTGGCTTATCTGCAAATTACCGAACAGGGAATGAAGAATCATGGAGAGGTGATAACGAGGAACAATCGAAAGCGGTGATCAGTAATTTTCGATGAACCTTTCTCACGCATGATTAAGGACACGAGTCTGTTTAGGCAAATGTACTATTGCGACTCAAATACAGGACGGTGACAAAACGATAATGCGAACAACTGACAGCACAGTATCATCTTTCGCAAGAACACTGTCATGCAATGAGTTGGAAAGTAACAATGGAATTGTTGATCCCGAGCCACCAGGCCGCACCGAGATCTGGCAAATTTTTGGATCGGCTCGGAAACTTTTAGTTGAACTCGGCAAGTCTTGACCCCGCCCGGTGACCCGCGGCCTGCAATCCCGCATTACTGCTTGAAATCAACTAAAACTGCCAATTCATTGCGAAATGAAAGAAAATACTTAAAGGGCTGCAGAATTTCAAAAACCCATTCCTCTTCTTGAACTATACCAATGATTAAAATCGATCACCACAGTATGCAGAATTTTTTTTATCGAAGAGGTTTTCCCTCTACAGCAACTTCAAGGCGGAGGTGCGCGAAGAAACAAAGCTTAATTCCCTGAAAAATAAACTTCCAAGCACTCATGTACCCAGCGAAGGGGTGCGCAGGGGAATAGGAAGACGGAGAAAAAGTGAGAAAAAGGAGAAAAAGAAGGGATCGAGGGAAAAGGAAGAAAAAAATAAACGTAAAAAATACACCTCAAAACTATGGTTGGTAATCGTGCAGTTCATGTCAAGGAGAAAAGGGGTGTGGTCTAGCTCACACAGAATAGGCGTCAGCCATTGCAGCCATGAAGACATCGTGCCACAGCTCTTTCCGCATATTAACAACTGCTTTTTCGAACACGCAGAATGATTACAATAGAAATTAATTCAGTTTTAGTCGATAAGCATGCTCATGCTCGCAGCTAAATGTAATCGGTGCAACGAGAAATAATCAATGATAAAAACTAAGCAACAACTGGGTAGAGTTTGGATTCATATTAT